GGTGATTCTCTCTCATCATTGATCTTCATGTTTCTCTCTCTCCTCCTCCCTTCCTCTCTGAAATCAATAAAAAATATATATTTTTAAAAAATAGAAGTAAGGACACCTTTCCTAGGAGCTTCTGTCTCATTGAAAATTTGACAGAGAGGATAAGAACACCTGCAAGTAAAGTGGAATGTGCCCCTAGATCTGGGAAGAGGGTCACCCTCCCCAGTCACACAGGAATATGTAGTTACCCAAACTAATTTGAGGGCTCTGCCAGCAAGGAAGGAGGTACCAGATGGTGGTTGGGTAGACAGCCAACACTGACTGCTTTTTTCTTTTGAAAATTGTCTTTTTCTCAGCATCCAAGAGTGTCCTATTCCTTATTTGTAACATGGGGGTTTTCTAAGACCCATGTTGTTTTGTTTCTGTTCACTTAACTCTAAAGGAGGAGATACCACTCCAGGACGCATTTACCATAAACCGAGCAGGCAGGTGCTCATTGTTGCCCTCGCTGTCTCGCTGGTTGGAATCCATTCCTTGTGGCTGAAACAGGAGGCACAGGGATGTTCACAGCCCCACCCCCCTATGGCCTGTCTGACACCATCCTTCCCTCCGATGTGGTGTTTGGGGTGGGGGGGTTGTGCATGCTCCCTCCACAGAGAGGAGGATGAAGGATTGATTTATATATTGGAAGGAATAGGTGAATCCTGAAGGCACCGTTCCCATGAGTGTTCCCATCACAGTCTTCCTGACACTGAATCTGCATTCAGGGCACAAAGGCCTTTATCCATCATCTGTTGTCGTTGCCACGTCGGAGACCCCCGTAAAGGGACTGAGGGGAGAAAGGGCTTGGAGATGCCAACCCCTCATATTTGGTTGTTAGGGCCTCTGATTCTGAGCCCCAGAAAGGACATAGGAAAAGAAAAACACTCTTTATCTATCCTTCAGGCCGCTGTTACTTCAAATAACAAAGTATGTGAGTGTCAGTTGCCAATTATATCATGTCCATTTCAACTTCATAAAACATGGCACAGTGGGTGGCATTGTACTTGCTATTAGTTTTACAAGTTCTACCCTTTGCATTTGGTTAGAGAAGTTCATTCATTCCATCTGCCATTACATTGAGTGAGAGCACACCATCTGTGGATATGAGGATAAAGAATGTAAAATACACCAGCAATAGTTTTATACGGACTATATGTTGAAATATTAATTTGCTGTATTGGTTTAAATAAAAATGTATTCTTGTTCCTTTTTAATTAATGTTGCTATGAGAAAATTTTCAGTTACACATGTGGCTGGCGCTATATTTCCACTGGACCCCTTTGCCCCACCATGTAGCTCCAGAAGGCTCTCATCTCCCTGTCTCTTTCTTCCTCTAGATCTGTGCGGCCCGACACAGTAGCCTCATGTGGAAATTTACCTTTAAATTAATTGAAATGAAACAAAATTTAAAATTCCGCCCCTCAGTCATATTAGCCATATTTCACGTGTGGTGAGGGGCTCCCATATCGCACAGCACGGGCCGTTTCCAGCACCATGGAAAGGTCCACTGGACAGAGGTGATGTAGGTCATACGTAGATATGGCCACACCCACAGAGATGGGATGGTGAATGCCTAAAGCATGGAAGCGTTTCCATGGTGCCTAACTCTGCAGCACATCATCCTCCCATCCGTCTCCTGAACGCAGGTCCCTTCCTGCCTTTGTTAGGCTTGTTTACGCACACTTATCTCTCCTTTCCTCCTGCTCGGGCTGCGGTGCACTTATCTCCCTCTGAGCACACCCCACACCACCACCCCCACGTGAACACGGGATCTAACACCCGTGTACAATGTAGGTATTCAGTAAATATATGTTAACCAGTTGGAGTGGCAGTTCCTAGCAAGCAATTGGAAATATGTGGCTGAAGCTAGAGGGAGATATATAGTGCCTGGTAGCAGAGGGGTGAGAGAGAGAGAGAGAGAGAGAGAGAGAGAGAAAAGGTCAAAGCCAGACTCCCAAGGAAGAAGAAGGAGGACCTGGTAGAGAGACAGAAAGGAGGAAATGGAGACGGTGGTGACCCGGGACCTCAGACATGTCACCAAAATCCCTTTGCCCACCTCACCAGCCCTCACAGACAGCGACTAGAGTTACTGCAAGGGAATTCACAGTTTTAGGCAACAGCTGCAGAAAAGGGCAAAAGAAACCCAAAATATTATTATGTGATTGATAAACATGCAGGACCCATAAATGAGAAGTTGAAATGGCCTGAGAATTAAGGGTCTGGTGAGGAGAAAAATGAAAAACGCCCTCTCCCTGGGCCAGCTGGTTTGAGTTACATTTTACGTGCAGCATGTGAGTTCCAGCACCCTTCTGAATTAGCAGCAGAGTCGCACATTAGTTTTAAGGCTCCCTCTCGAATAGGAACATCATAACGCTTTTTAATTGGGGCTGATAAAAACGTAGCATTACTTGTAGGTTCCTGAGAGAAGTGAGTTGTGAAATTGGGTTTTCATTAAACCTAATGATGGAAAATTAAGTATAGTGCGGCGGGTGAAATGGGGTGTGATAAAAGGCACCACGTCTGCATTATCGGAGGTTAATAAGGGAATAGGTGAGGTCGGATGCATTGGAAAAAGAGTCCAACTAGTTGAATTAATAAACCTTGAAAATCCCTTGGTTCCGAGTCTTCATAGCATCATTAGCTCCAGCATTGACATTATTACAAATGTTATAGCAACACAAGTTGCTCAATTTCAAATGCATTTATTTTCCGTTGCAGCGTTGGTTTTGCCGACACCAAGTTTACAGTCTGTCAAGCCGTGTGTTTAGGGAAAATATTCATATTGGTAGCTCTTTGGTTTTGGAAACATTTGGCATCTCACAAAAATTGCCAGGTGCCCATTGCCAAGAATCCTGTTTCTGCCAGGCAGCCGGTCTCGCAGGCAGCCCGTGCCTCAAGTCCTTGGGGAGACCATGGGTCTCTGAAGGCATCTGGGGATGGGGGCTTAGGTAGGAGACACTCACTGGGCTCCAGCTCCGTCTCTCCTGGGAGCAGGGCATAATCTAGAGGAGCAAGCTCAGGCACTCCTTGCTTCTCCATCCCCGACTCCCAGTCCATCACTGGAGTGATGCTCCCAAGATGCCTCATGTCCCTGGCAGTTGACATGACAGCATGACCCCTACACAAAGTAGTGGGAGTCCTTAAAGAGGATTCCTCTTCAAACCCTCCGACAGCTTCCCACTGGCTTGGAGATGCTCACACATTCACGGTGTTTCTAGACAGGCCCTCACATGGACTCTCCCATCACATTTCCACCCAAAGCCATCACTCCCTGTCCACCTCCTTGCTCTTACCCAAAAGCACCTGGCTTCTCCGGCTCCTGTTCTTGTCTGTTTTCCTACTAGACCATCAAGACTTGAGGGTGGAATCTGCATTGCTCAGTGCACGGCCAGTGCCAACCCGTGTTCCTGGCATAGAGTGGGTTCCCAGTATGTCTAACTCCCCATCACAGGGTGAGATGGATGGAGAAGAGAAGCAGCCCCCACGTTCGCCAAGCACTATGCTTAAGCAATGCCAGTGAGGATGTGTTCCCTGTTATTTAAAATCCCCGGAGAAAACGTAATTGGTATTTTTATGTGCTAACATCTCACCTAGACCCTTCTTCCTTGTGCAGAAAGCTGTAAACTAGATCTTTATGTTGGCAATTCTTTCCTTCCTGGGAACAGTGTTTCTCAGGCTGCCACACAGAAGGAGAGCTCACCTTCACGTGCAGAGTCAATGTCCTATGGGCTATTGTGACATGAGGCACAACCAAGCCGAAGGAAACATGGTTTTTGAAATGACAAGTTGCAGAAAATCAGGAATATATGTTAAGCCACCCAGGGAATGGGTATGGCATAGGCCTAGTGGGGGTCCTGCCAGGGTGCCTGGCTGAGCCTGAACACACCTGGCTGAGATACATCAAATCTGACTTCTCATCTCATACATGCCACAGACAAAAGGTCCAGGGCATAGACTGTCCATGTCGTTGGGAAAAGGTTGGGCAGATCAACCCCAGAGGTTCTGGGGAAGATACACCGGCCCGGAAAGACCAGCAAGGAGTGCCAAGCAGTGAGGGGGTAGGACTAGAATGTGGTTGTCCAAGGGGAACAGAGAATCTCAAATCCAACCTCAGCAGGCATCAGTTCCCAAGGTGGCCAAAGAGCAGAGGACAGTTAGAGCAATGCAGTGGGTGTAAGGATTATTACCAGGGGAAAATAGAGATCGTTTATCAAGGAGGGATGATATGAAGGATTTAATGAGACTTAGGACCCAGGCCTGGGAGAGGTGAAGGGCAGAACTAAAGGAGGAGATTCGGGCCTCCCTACCTGCAAGGTGGGTTCCGTGACCCTCTTGGAGCAAGAGTGTTCAGTGGTGGGGAAGCTGGACAGGAGGCCGAAGGTGGTCACTGCTGTAGAGCCCACAGTTGGAGAGGGGCTCCAGTTCCCTCCTCCCAGGGTACCACCCAACAGAGACAAACTGGTGGAGACACTGGGTCCCGGGGATGCAGGCAGGTGGATCCGAAGCACACACGCACGTGGCCCTGGTCTCCAGGACCCTGAGGCTTGGCAGTCAGGCACCTGCTTCCTAAACAGGAGGGCGCTCCTGGTATCTAGCCTGCCTGGCTTCTCAGAGGTTCTGATATTGGCCAGGATTGGCCAACACCACCCTGACGATCCTGAAGGCCTGGGATGGGGCGGCAATGGCAGCCAACCTGGACTTAGTCTTTACTCCATCGATATGTACCCTTGAGATGGAACAAACCAAGGGCTGTTGTGTTCACGCGTTGGTTTGTTGATTTAATTTTTCAGTCTACCCCCACAGCCATGCCCAGGAAGCAATGTGTCTCTTTTCTTTCTCTGATTTCTTTATTAGTTGAATCTTGAGTTAGTTCCCTCTGGCCTCCTCAGGTCCTGCTAAGGAAGGCACAGAGGACTGAGGGCAAAACTCCCATAGGTGATGGTCTGTTCTGCCTCTTCTCTTTGAAGCAGATGGCAGTCGCGGAGAGCTGTCCCAGCCCACTCTCACCATCCAGACCCACCCCTACCGGGCCTGCGACCCCATGGAGATGAGCTATTCCCGGGACCAGTTCCAGCCGGCCATCCGAGTGGCTGATCTGCTGCAGCACATCACCCAGATGAAGAGAGGCCAGGGCTACGGGTTCAAGGAGGAATACGAGGTAAGGGACCGCCTGTGCAGACACTCCCAGATGGGTGCAGAAGCTTCTGGGGCTGAAGGTTTGCCACTAAAAGTTTAGTCTCTGGACCCGCAGCATCAGCGTCTCCTGGGAGCCGAACGCCCAGACTTACTGAATCACTTACCCGCATTTTAACAGAACTTAAGAGACTTGTATACCCTTTAAATTTGAGAATCACCA